CTCCACTCACTCTCCCCTCTCATCTCACTCCACTCCCGACCCCGCACTCCCCTACCTCTCATATCACTCCACTCCCCTCCACGCACTCTCCCCACTCATCTCACTCCTCTCCCCTCCGCGCACTCTCCCCTCTCATCTCACTCCAATCCCCTCCACTCACTCTCCCCTCTCATCTCACTCCACTCCCCTCCACGCACTCTCCCCTTTCATCTCACTCCAATCCCCTCCACTCACTCCCCTATCTCTCATCTCACTCCACTCCCCTCCACGCACTCTCCTACCTCTCATCTCACTCCACTCCCCTCCACTCACTCTCCCCTCTCATCTCACTCCACTCCACTCCACTCACTCCCCTACCTCTCATCTCACTCCAATCCCCTCCACTCACTCTCCCCTCTCATCTCGCTCCACTCCCCTCCACGCACTCTCCCCTCTCATCTCACTCCACTCCCCACCCCGCACTCCCCTACCTCTCATCTCACTCCACTCCCCTCCACTCACTCCCCTACCTCTCATCTCACTCCACTCACCTCCACTTACTCCCCTACCTCTCATCTCACTCCACTCCACTCCACGCACTCTCCTACCGCTCATCTCACTCCACTCACGTCCACTCACTCTCCTACCTCTCATCTCACTCCACTCCCCTCCACGCACTCTCCCCTCTCATCTCACTCCACTCCCCTCCACTCACTCCCCTACCTCTCATCTCACTCCACTCCCCTCCACGCACTCTCCCCTCTCATCTCACTCTACTCTCCTCCACTCACTTCCCTACCGCTCATCTCACTCCACTCCCCTCCACTCACTCCCCTACCTCTCATCTCACTCCACTCACCTCCACTTACTCCCCTACCTCTCATCTCACTCCACTCCACTCCACGCACTCTCCTACCGCTCATCTCACTCCACTCACGTCCACTCACTCTCCTACCTCTCATCTCACTCCACTCCCCTCCACGCAATCTCCCCTCTCATCTCACTCCACTCCCCTCCACTCACTCCCCTACCTCTCATCTCACTCCACTCCCCTCCACGCACTCTCCCCTCTCATCTCACTCTACTCCCCTCCACTCACTCCCCTACCTCTCATCTCAATCCACTCCACTCCACGCAATCTCCCCTCTCATCTCACTCCACTTACTCCCCTACCTCTCATCTCACTCCACTCCCCTCCACGCACTCTCCCCTCTCATCTCACTCTACTCCCCTCCACTCACTCCCCTACCTCTCATCTCACTCCACTCTCCTCCACTCACTCTCCTACCTCTCATCTCACTCCACTCCCCTCCACGCACTCTCCCCTCTCACCTCACTCCACTCCCCTCCACGCACTCTCCCCTCTCATCTCACTCCACTCACCTCCACTCACTCCCCTACCGCTCATCTCACTCCACTCCCCTTCACTCACTCCCCTACCTCTCATCTCACTCCACTCACCTCCACTTACTCCCCTACCTCTCATCTCACTCCACTCCACTCCACGCACTCTCCTACCGCTCATCTCACTCCACTCACGTCCACTCACTCTCCTACCTCTCATCTCACTCCACTCCCCTCCACGCAATCTCCCCTCTCATCTCACTCCACTCCCCTCCACGCACTCTCCCCTCTCATCTCACTCTACTCCCCTCCACTCACTCCCCTACCTCTCATCTCAATCCACTCCACTCCACGCAATCTCCCCTCTCATCTCACTCCACTCCCCTCCACTTACTCCCCTACCTCTCATCTCACTCCACTCCCCTCCACGCACTCTCCCCTCTCATCTCACTCTACTCCCCTCCACTCACTCCCCTACCTCTCATCTCACTCCACTCCCCTCCACTCACTCTCCTACCTCTCATCTCACTCCACTCCCCTCCACGCACTCTCCCCTCTCACCTCACTCCACTCCCCTCCACGCACTCTCCCCTCTCATCTCACTCCACTCACCTCCACTCACTCCCCTACCGCTCATCTCACTCCACTCCCCTTCACTCACTCCCCTACCTCTCATCTCACTCCACTCACCTCCACTCACTCTCCCCTCTCATCTCACTCCACTCCCCTCCACGCACTCTCCTCCCTCTCATCTCACTCCACTCCACTCACTCCCCGACCTCTCATCTCACTCCACTCCCCACCCCGCACTCCCCTACCTCTCATCTCACTCCACTCCCCTCCACTCACTCCCCTATGTCTCATATCACTCCACTCCCCTCCACGCACTCTCCTCCCTCTCATCTCACTCCTCTCCCCTCCGCGCACTCTCCCCTCTCATCTCACTCCTCTCCCCCTCCACGCACTCTCCCCTCTCATCTCACTCCAATCCCCTCCACTCACTCTCCCCTCTCATCTCACTCCACTCCCCTCCACGCACTCTCCTACCTCTCATCTCACTCCACTCACCTCCACTCACTCCCCTACCTCTCATCTCACTCCACTCCCCTCCACGCACTCTCCCCTCCACTCACTCCCCTATCTCTCATCTCACTCCACTCCCCTCCACGCACTCTCCTACCTCTCATCTCACTCCAATCCCCTCCACTCATTCCCCTACCTCTGATCTCACTCCACTCCCCTACAGGCACTCTCCCCTCTCATCTCACTCCACTCCCCTCCACGCATCCTCCCCTCTCCTCTCACTCCACTCCCCTCACTCCCCTACCTCTCATCTCACTCCACTCCCCTCCAGGCACTCTCCTACCTCTCATCTCACTCCACTCCCCTCCACTCACTCCCCGACCTCTCATCTCACTCCACTCCCCTCACTCCCCTACCTCTCATCTCACTCCACTCCACGCACTCTCCTACCGCTCATCTCACTCCACTCACCTCCACTCACTCCCCTACCTCTCATCTCACTCCAATCCCCTCCACGCACTCTCCCCTCTCATCTCACTCCACTCCCCTCCACGCACTCTCCTGCCTCTCATCTCACTCCACTCCCCTCCACTCACTCCCCTACCTCTCATCTCCCTCTACTCCCCTCCACTCACTCTCCCCTCTCATGTCACTCTACTCCCCTCCACGCACTCTCCCCTCTCATCTCACTCCACTCCCCTCCACCCACTCCCCTACCTCTCATCTCACTCCAATCCCCTCCACTCATTCCCCTACCTCTGATCTCACTCCACTCCCCTCCAGGCACTCTCCCCTCTCATCTCACTCCACTCCCCTCCACGCATCCTCCCCTCTAATCTCACTCCACTCCCCTCCACTCACTCTCCTACCTCTCATCTCACTCCAATCCCCTCCACTCACTCCCCTATCTCTCATCTCACTCCTCTCCCCTCCACACACTTTCCTACCTCTCATCTCCCTCTACTCCCCTCTACTCACTCCCCTACCTCTCATCTCACTCTACTCCCCTCCACTCACTCCCCTACCTCTCATCTCACTCCACTCCCCTCCACGCACTCTCCCCTCTCATCTCACTCCACTCAACTCACTCCCCTACCTCTCATCTCACTCCACTCCCCTCCACCCACTCTCCTGCATCTCACTCCCCTCCACTCACTCTCCCCTCTCATCTCACTCTACTCTCAGCAATCCGGAATATTTTTGTCCTCTTCAATGTCCTACTTTTCTTTTGTTTGAGACTCGTGGCACCTGCTTTTTTTGCAAGGCGATTCCCACAGTTTAGGGATCGTGGCGTTTTTGACCTTCACATAAATATATCATTAGTAAGGCGTCCATACTAAAATTGTAATTGCTTGAAAGGGGCTAATTAATTGATTAGTTGATGCCGATTTTGATACAGGCACGCATTGTCACCGGATCTGAGGACGTGTGCTAAATTTCGAATTGATTGGACAACAGGAAGTAGACTAAATTTTTATTAGAAGATTTGACCACGACAAACAGGAGTCAAGTTCAATAAAACCATTGAAAAAAAACACGCTTTTTTACATTATACACCGCTCAAAACGAATTGTGAATCTTTATTCATCCGTTTAATTTCTGTCGTCATATGATAAAAAAACAACAACCCAACAACGTTGTTTGCAAATGTTTTTTGCGCCTTTGTAATTCCGCTCGGCAAGCCTCATTTGAAATAAGGCAGTCCCCCGACATACGAACGTGCGACTTGCGAACGTCCGCACTTACGAACGGACGAGCATACGTTGTTATTTTCAAACGGTCCCGCTGACGAACGTTCGCTATTTTGTTGGGTAGAGCGATCCTCGGCGAGTACGTAATGAGTCCCAGCGTCCCGCGTGACGCTACAACACCCCCCCCCCTCCCACAGGAGCCAGCGCCAGGACTCGTGAAAATAAAATGGATTTTTTTTCCTTTCATGTTCCTTTTACCTTTTAGTTACTGTACAGCATTTATCACGGTATTACATGGAAATGTTCATTTTCTTATTCTCGTTTGAGTTTTACAAAGCACAGTCCCGAGATACGGAAAAAAATCGACTTACGAACGGGTCTCAGGAATATATATAGGGTGCCGCGGTGGCGAAATGTTCATTACCTCGCCTGGTAAAACTGGAGGTCGAAGCTTCGATCCCGACGCTGACGCCTGCAGTTAATGCGCTGTGCCACGAACCCCCGTCACCTGAGTTCGATTCCCCGTTCGCGGCCAACACCGGCGATGATAATGATCTCAAACCGGTGCTGGGCATCCCCCTACGTTAACCCGGCCTGGTTGCGGCATGTAAATATTGCTTGCTTCGCCGGCAGCCGACCTTCCTCGTGTTGCCGCAGGTGCTGGGACTCGTTAACAGGCACCTGTCCCGCAAAGTCTGTTCAGGCTAACACGGGAGGAGGCGACTTTGTGTTCCAGTTGCAGCGGTCGGCGACTGAGAACCGCCGTTTCAACCCCGGAGGCGGCAGATCCGAACGCGAGCTCTCTGCCGCGACAGCTGCTCAGCTCTCGCAGTCAGCCGTCGGCATTAACGTGTCAGATCCCTCCCGACCGCTCCACGGGAACGTCATCCGAAAACTACCCCAAGCAAAAAAAAATAAACCGCCCCAGCCCCACCACCTCCCGTACCCAAAAACAAAAAAACCATGGCGCGAACCGACAACGGAACGAACTCAAACCATCCGGCCAATTTCAGCGGCAATGAGTCCGTGCCGCCGCTGCTGGGCATCGACTACCAGCTCTACTTCTCCATCATCCAAATCATCAACATCGCCATGATGGTGCCGTCGATAGCGTTCTTCGTCTGCATCACCGCCATCATCTTCGGCGAGGCGAGCCTCCGCGAGAACTCCCGCTACGTCCTCTTCTCCAACCTGCTCACGTGCGACACGTGCTTCCTCACCTCGTCCGTCATCATCACGTCGCTCATTTGGCAGCACCAACGGTACGGCCTCGCCGCCTGCTACACCTACGTCATCATCAGCAGCACGCTCAACCACTGCGGCGTCCTCTGCGTCACCCTCATGTCCTTCGAGCGCTACGTCGCCGTGTGCCACCCGCTGCACCACGCCGCGTGGTTCAACCGCCGCGCCACCGCGCTGTCGCTCGCCGCCATCTGGGCGCTCGCCTCCGTGTGCCAAGTGGTACGTGGCGGCGTCGTGCTCGCGGGCACCGCCGCCGGCGCCGCCGAGCCGCCCCTCAACGTCACGTCGTCGTGCTCGACGTACGTCATCGACGCGGCGATGCCGAACGCCGACGTGCTCGTCACCCTCCGCGAGCTGCCCAACGCCGTCTTCTTCACGGCGTGCGCCGTCACGCAGACGTTCGCCTACGTCCGGATCGTGGCGGCGGCGAGGAGGGCGGCGGCGACGGCCTCCGACCGCGCGTCGAACGCGCGGCGCGCCACCAACACGGTGGCGCTGCACGCGGTGCAGCTCTTCCTGTACCTGTGCGCGCTCTCCAACACCCTGCTGCTCATGCTGTTCACCCTCGTGACGTCCGACGCGCGCGTGATCGGCGTCCTGAGGATCAACGCCTACCTGGTCATCTTCTTCGGCTCGAGGTTCGTGGCGCCGCTCGTCTACGGCCTGCGGGACAAGGAGCTGCGGAGGCACTTCAGGAAGAGGGTCGCGTGCCGCTACTTTGCCGCTTCCACCGGGAAGGTGGACGCGGCCTCGAACTGAGGGCTGCTGTTGTCGTTGCGTTTGTCGCTGCCGTGGTGCAGAGGTGCGTCCACGGTTGACGCACAGCGGACGCGGCGAACGTCTTCCGTTGCTTTTAGTCGCGCGGTGGTATGGTGTGGTATGGGATGTACGTGCGTGCGGTGGTATGGTGTGGTATGGTATGGGATGTACGTGCGTGCGGTGGCATGGTGTGGTATGGTATGGGATGTACGTGCGTGCGGTGGTATGGTGTGGTATGGTATGGGATGTACGTGCGTGCGGTGGTATGGTGTGGTATGCTATGGGATGTACGTGCGTGCGGTGGTATGGTGTGGTATGGTATGGGATGTACGTGCGTGCGGTGGTATGGTGTGGTATGCTATGGGATGTACGTGCGTGCGGTGGTATGGTGTGGTATGGTATGGGATGTACGTGCGTGCGGTGGTATGGTGTGGTATGGTATGGGATGTGCGTGCGGTGGTATGGTGTGGTATGGTATGGGATGTACGTGCGTGCGGTGGTATGGTGTGGTATGCTGTGTACATACGTGCGGTGGTATGGTAGGGGACGTACGTGTGGTTGCTTGGTATCGTACGTACGAGCTTGCGGTTGTATGGTGTGGTATGGTACGTGCGGTTGTATGGTGTGGTATGGTACGTGCGTGCGTGCGGTGGTATGGTGTGGTATGGTACGTGCGTACGTGCGGTGGTATGGTGTGGTATGGTACGTGCGTACGTGCGGTGGTATGGTACGTACGTACAACTTATTTTGCGCACCATACATAACCGACTGTGTTCTCCCCGGAACCTGGTTTCGCTTCAAGTCGTTTTACGTAAAGTCGCACTTTCAAGTCGCACTTTAATCACCACGGTATCGCCGAGGAGTGAGTGTGGTCAACGTCTCCTAGCCACCGTGGCGCCCCCATATGTATGTATTTGTACGTATGCTGAACTTCTTTCGCACCGTACGTAGCCAACCGTGCCCATCGGAGGTGCGGTGGGAAGGACAACAACACTAAACACAACAACAAACAGTTCTAAACGATGACTTTGTAAATCTAGATGATGATTTAAAAGTGGCGTAGCTCCTAAGTAGCTTCCTAATATCGGAAGAGCGTCCCAGACGTACACAGAAGCGGCATCTGAAAGCGCCGCGCGATGCAGTGACCGTCTTTGTTCGATGGCCAGCCAAAAGTGTATTGCATAACGTAGTGTAGTGTATAGCAGTGTATAGTGTAGTGTATAGTAGTGTATAGTGTAGTGTATAGTAGTGTAGTGTATAGCAGTGTATAGTGTAGTGTATAGTAGTGTATAGTGTAGTGTATAGTGTAGTGCATAGCGTAGTGTATAGTGTAGTATATAGTGTAGTGTATAGTAGTGTATAGTGTAGTGTATAGTAGTGTAGTGTATAGTGTAGTGTATAGTTGTGTAGTGTATAGTGTAGTGTATAGTATAGAGTGTAGTGTATAGTGTAGTGTATAGTGTAGTGTATAGTAGTGTATAGAGCAGGGACGTGCAGTCAGGTGAGGCAGGGGAGTCACAGCCTCACCTGTCATACTCCAATGAAAACAGCTGTTACGAAAAGTAAAAAACAAAGAATAATCAAATGAAATAAATATTAAGATTTTTCCACTGATCTGTGTTATAAATGTCATTTCTGTACGATTCCAATAATTTTTATAGTCAAAATCGTGAAATTTGCGGAGCTCCGCTGCAAATACTGCAGGAAGAGACGAGAGGTGAGGCAGCGACGAGCTCAGCCTCCCCTCTGATTGCGCAACCACTCAGTAACTGGATGGAGCACGGACAATAAGCGCGTGCCTGTCACGATCTCAGTATGTCACCAACGTAATGTTTGTAGACCCAATCATTTCACGTCCTCGCCTTCCATACTCCAGGTAACTTATTTCACGTATTATGTGTATAAAGATATTTAGGCCCGCTGGTCTCGTCATGAAACTGCATTGAAAAAGCACCAGGGGAGGCAGCTATCACATCTGCCTCACTGAGGGGTGGGGGGTGGGCGTGACAGACACGCGCCCCCCCCCCCCCCCTCAATGAGGCCACGCCCCTCCGTGAGCCCACGCCCCCCTCAGTGTGTGAATCTGGCTCTGACACTAGCCGGTGCCTCCCCAGCCATTGATCTCGCTTCGGAAAAAAAGCTACATAGCTCAGTGGGGGCCTTACTTGGTAAAATAAAACAAAAGTAGTATCGCACAGCAGTATAGTATCGACTTCAGAGACCTCACGTGGGACCTTGGGCCTTGTGAAACGACGCCGGTGGTCGTAAAACTAGGGGGTTTTCCCCTTTTTTTCTGGCAACAAAACTTAAACCTTTTTACGAGGATTCATGTTTACTGCATTAACCACAATACCTGCAGTCAAAATGCAAACAAAAAACACGCTATGATAATATATGTGGCATTGTCCTTGAAACTGATTGGTCCACACCAAGGGAAAGCCGTCCTTTGGTGTGGACCAATCAGTTTCAAGGACAATGCATATATTATCATAGTGTTTTTTTGTTTGTATTTTGACTGCAGGTATTGTGGTTAATGCAGTGACATGAATCCTCGTACAAAGGTTTCAGTTTTGTTGCCAGAAAAAAGGGAAAACCCCTATTATTACATTTTGGTACTGGCAAAGGAGGTCTAATGATGCCGGTGGTCGCGTTTGGGGCCTGTTGGTCAGAGGGAATTCCACCCCCCCCACCCCCATCCACGAATTGCAGCTGAATACCAAAGAACGATCGGTGATTTTTGCTCTATATCTAGCAGCCTATATCTCTAAACAGCTCTAAATATCTCTAAACCTAGAGATCTCTACCTACCTCTCTATCTTTCTATAAATCAGCTCAAGCCTCCAGTAAACCACCACGTGACTTCTGTGTGGCCACTCCCACTCTGAACCCCTCTCATCTAGAGATCTCTACATCTCTCTCTCTATAAACAGCAGCAGTAGGAGGCTTTCACGACCAATGTTATCCAGAGGTTATTTCCCTAGGTTCGATCGCGTAGATATAAATGTGCGTCGTTAAAACCCGCCACCGCCAACCGATAACGACCAAGTAGCGAGGATTTGTCACGTAAACAAAACGTGGCCATTTAAGTTGGGGGGCCGTCCATAAATGACGTCACGCGATTTTGGACGATATTTGACCCCCCCATCGTCACACGGCGTCACAAAAATCAGACCCCCCCCCCTCAAATATGACGTCACAAAGCTCTGCCCCCACCCCACCCCACCCCACAAAAATAAAACATGCTTCAAATCGCTTTAAGCTATTGTTGTCATTGTAGTGCGTATTTAATGTGGCGCTGCACTCTGATGTTGTAGGAGAAAACAATTATTAAAAAGTCTATTTAATTAAGTAGAACGTGTTGTCTATATTTATTTAATGTTGCGCATTTTTACGTGACGTCACATTTCTCAACTCCCCACCCCCCTCGTCACACATCGTCACAAATGTCTGACCCCCCCCCCCCCTCTAGGTGCGTGACGTCATTTATGGACGGTCCCCTACCAGCTCGTCACGCTCGAATTTTAAGCGCTGTGGGTTTACTCTCCCGACACACCGGTGTGCTGTACTCGTTAACGAATTGGCCACTTTTTGTTTACGTGGCACAAACCATTACGAATTGGCAATGTCGGATGGTGGCGGGTTTCACGACACATCTACAAACTAGATTTCGATTTAAAGCTTTCGTGACTGCAAGGATTCATCTTCTTTGGTTCTTTCGGTAAAGTCACCACGTAGAATGAGAATAAAATAACCTGATGAAGGCCGCTTGTGTTGTGGCCGAAACGTCGTGAGAATATTATTGTGTTATTTTATTTTATCAATTTATTATTTTATTCTCATTCTACGTGACTTTACCGAAAGATACCAAAGAAGATCTACAAAGTAGATTCGAAGCTTTCGTGACTGCAGCAATTACTCTTTGGTTCTTTCGGTAAAGTCACATGGAAAACAAAATAATAATAGAATACGACGTTTCGGTTGCATCACAAGCAACCATCATCAAATTTTGATTTAAAGCTTTCGTGACTGCAGTAATTCATATTCTTAGTTCTTTCGGTAAAGTCACGTTGAAGGGAAACAAGAAAATAATAAAATATATATAAAACAATAAAAATTCTCACGACGTTTCGACCATAACACAAACGGTCGTCATCAGGTGTGTCGGTTTTCATAAATGTATTTATTTTTAAACGGTGTATTTATCTCCACCGTTATTTACACCGTGGCGGTAACGTTTTTTTAATAAATAAATACGCCGTTTAAAAATAAATAAATTTATGCAAACCGACACACCTGATGACGACCGTTTGTGTTATGGTCGAAACGTCGTGAGAATTTTTATTGTTTTATTATTTTATTGTTTCCCTTCAACGTGACTTTACCGAAAGAACTAAGAATATCAACCATCATCAGTTAAGAACGCACGATAAATCACAGACACGGGAACTGCATAGGCAGACACGCATGGAGACAGAGACACGCACAAAGACACACCCAGGTGTGTGTCTCGCTCTGTGTCTGGGCCCTGTCAAGGCAACCGCAGGCGGGACTCGAAATTCAACAAATCTAGGAGAGCAAACCTGCAAAAGCAGTTGCGAGTAGCAGCAACATCGTCAATAGCCAGCTAACATCATCAATACCAGCTAACATCATCAATACCAGCTAACATCATCAATACCAGCTAACATCGTCAATACCAGCTAACATCATCAATACCAGCTAACATCATCAATACCAGCTAACATCATCAATACCAGCTAACGTCATCAACACCAGCTAACATCATCAATACCAGCTAACATCGTCAATACCAGCTAACATCATCAATACCAGCTAACATCATCAATACCAGCTAACGTCATCAATACCAGCTAACATCATCAATACCAGCTAACATCATCAATAGCCAGCTAACGTCATCAATACCAGCTAACATCATCAATACCAGCTAACATCATCAATAGCCAGCTAACGTCATCAATACCAGCTAACATCGTCAA